GCATTGCAAACGTTATATTGTATAATAATAATGTATTAAAGATGGTATATCGATAATTCGACGTAGTCTAGAAAATTCTTTGGAAACTTGCTTTCTTTTTGTTAATGTACTTTCATATTTTTTGTTTAATTGTTAGACAATTAATTAAAAAGACTATAAACTTTCAAAAAAAAGATTCGAAATGATTATTTTCTCAGGAAAGTGCAAATACAAGTATAATATAAGCATTTTTTTTTTAATTCTTTCTTACTCGAGGAAAGCCAATGCTATTTAAATATTTAAATAGGAAGAATTCTTTTTTTTCGAGGAAATTTTAATTTAATTTAACTCATTTCAATTTTTTATAAATTCTATTTTTTTAAAAATTCAGAATTTAACATCTCTACTTTATCAATCAATTGTTTCTTAAGTTAATTATTAATATACGTTAAAAATTTCAAACAAATTCAGAATTAAATATACGTTTCTAACCCAATCATTAATCCATTTACATTGCATATGCAAATATGCAAATGGACTCGAGACTGTACTTATTACTTAAATTTTACATCTTTCCATTTTATTTATTTATTTATTTTTTTCCCTTCTCCCTATAATTCTAAGCCTACACTTTCGTTACATACAAAAATTGCGTGTTATCCAAATAAATAGCAGCCTTATTCCAACACTCGTTTCCTCTTTGGTCACGATTCACCTAACATCTGCACGTGACGATAATCTTCGTGTTTCGCTGATGAACAAGTGTAGTGTATCGTAATTAAATCGACTCGATATTTTACAAGGAGAGGCAACTTTCACGCGGCTAATACCGATAAGAGGCTGTTAGCGGAGCGTTTTAATTACAATCGAGATCGGTTATCGTTCACCAAACGCGAGCTCGCCGTTTCCGGCAATACGAAAAGAAAATTCCAAGCATTTATGATTATAACTCATGCGTACGTAAAATAAACAATAAAGCAACTCGATAGCTACGAATGGAAAAAGAAGAATAGGGAATTTTTATTCTCTAAGAATTCTATTTAATTGTTACTAGAAATTAATTTTTAGAGTTGGATATCCTGAAAATTTTCGAAAGTGTATATTTACTTTTCTTCTCTCTTTTCTTTTTTGTTAAAAACTAATTTACAAAAATTAAATTTACAATTAAAATTATATTTAGAGATGCAGAATCGAGAATTGTTCCTTTAGATTTGCAAAGTTTGTTCAAAATCAAATTTTTATTTTTTAGAATTCAATTTCAAATAATTCACTAGTTAACTAATAGTAACAATTTATTTCTCTAGCCTCATTTATAACTTTGATTCAATCTATATTAATTAAAATTCATAATCCACAAATATAATTCGATTATAAGGTAGACTAAAAATTTCTTCAAACGACTTCGAACGATGTCGAATCATCACCAACCATGCCGCATCGTTAGAAACGCGTTTTCTAATATCACGGGATGACTCGTGACGTTTCTCGACAGGTTGGATACTTTTTTATATATACATATATATATAAACAAGAAATTGTCGCTGTTTCGAAGACGATTACACGGGGACAAAACGTGGAAAGCATGTAATTGGTGTTGGCCATCCATCTGGTCACACCTGGAGTACTTTCCAGGTCGGAAGATGTAGTCCTTGCTTAGGCACCTATATTATTTCACATTATTTTATCCGTTCAAATGTTTTGCGATTTCAGGGTAGCAATTTGTGCGGCAAGTGAAAGCATGGATCGATTCCGATCTATGGATCCTGTGAAAAATGTGTGATACTTTATCTTAATATGGGAGAGTATCCCCCTCTTCGATGAATTGGCGTGTTCATTGTTATCCTGTTGAATGAAAGACATATTAAGTTGTAACTTATGTCAATAATTTTAGAAGATATTCGATCCTCTTTATATAATATTTTTATGATGGCATGAAAAATTCTATTCATTTTCTATTTAAAGAGCGAACTGCATTAATTCCTTGCCTTTGTTACTTAATTTCATTCAAAACTCTAATCATTCAAAAATCTAATCTAACTTATATCAGTTAGAAAAAAAGATATTCAGAGTTTTGTATAAAATTTGGAGCAAAATTTTTTTCTATTATTATCTATTAACATTAAATTATCTACTAGTAATTGAATAACCATATTTTTATCTGAATTGAAATCAATAGCAATCTATACAAAAAAAAAATACAATCAGTCAATTTTGATTGTTTCCAATATTAATCTCGTTATCGCATAGGTAAACGTTATCGAATTGAAATTTCTCACGCACGTTCTCTGATTACAGGCGACGATATACCAGGAACAATCGTGGTTCGTGTCGGAAACAATCGGCCGGACTTGGGAACGAATCCAATTTGCAATCGTTTCACCGGCCCTCTCGAAGAAGGCCAACCTCTTTTCCTACCCTGCAATCCTCCTATGCCAGGAGCTTTCGTTTCCGTGCATTTGGAGGCAAATACACCGACACCAATCCCAGTCCAACTCTCTTTGTGCGAGGCTTTCGTGTATACTGATCAGGTGCATACCACAGAATTTACTTGAAATGGGTAAAAAATGTTAAATTGTGTCAAAAGTTCTTTTCTTTATTTGATTTGGCAATTTTATGAAATTTTATGAAATATTATTGTAAGTACAAAAAAAAATAAGAAATCTTTTGGAACAATTTGATATCTCATACTTGCTTGAAAAGAGATCTCAAAATTAATGATTTTAAAGTACTTTGAATATAAAAATGTACAAAAATATCAAATCAAAATTGAGAGTTCAATTCAGTTTGAAAACTCATCAATATTCAATAAGTTCTTCTTTTGAGTTGTATGTCACTTTTTTTTTAGCAAATATGTAATATTTCTCTTATTATTTGTATCATTTTTGGAAATAGGAATTTTTAATAATAGATTAATAATAAGTAAGGTTTTTGAAAAGTATGTTATTTTTTTCTAATTAATTATTTCTTTGCACAGGCGCTTCCTATTGAGAGATGTCCACAATTCAGAGATCAACCACCAGGTTCAACAGCAACTTATAATGGAAAGTGTTATATATTTTATAATCGGCAACCAATGATATTCAGGGAGGCGTTATCGTTCTGTCGTGCACGAGGTGGAACTTTAGTGGATGAAAGCAATCCTGCGTTGCAAGGATTTATTTCATGGGAATTGTGGAGGAGGCATAGGTAGTCGTTTAGAAAAATCACAATATAGAATTCTATGAAACAAATATAAATGATTAAATGAAAAATCTTTGAACATTTTTGCATTTTTTTTCACTTATTGCAACTCTAAATATTATCTTCTTACATAATTCAATCACTTAAAATTAATTCAAGTGACAAAATTTTATTCATATTTTATTATTTACAAATTATAATTAACGTAGAAAATAATTGAAAAAATTCTCAATATCTCTTTCAATAAAGATTTTTAAAAACTATATATTTTATGTCCCTGTTAAGAAGCGACACCTCGAGTCAATACTGGATGGGTGCAGTGAGAGATCAGAAGGATCGCACGGTTTGGAGATGGACAGGAAGCGGCGAGGAGGTATCCGTTTCTTTCTGGAGCTTGCCTCAAGGAACCGAAGAGGACTGTGCTCGATACGATGGTAGCAGAGGCTGGCTTTGGTCTGATACTCCTTGCACGGCTCGATTAAATTTCATCTGTCAACACCGTGAGTACCTGGTATAAGTTTCAAACTAACGTCGCTTCCGTATTCCTTTCTCTCATTATTATCAAATTATACAATGACACGAATATCTTTTTCTGTCTGTGAATGCGCTAGATGATATAGAATGATGTAATGTGATAAGCTGAGAATCAATAATCACCGGATTTTCATGTGAAATCAAATTTTTATAAATCAATGATTATAAGATTATAAAGAAATGGAGTTTGAATAAAAATTTGCTTTATTCCTCAAATATCATAATTAATGGTATTATATTTAGATATTTTTTATTTTTTTGCATGTGTTGTCAATATTTTATAAATTCTGTTGAGAATTTTATTTATTTGTCATGTATATAATTTTCAAACTCTAAACAAGAATTAACAAATAAATTTTTCTTGATTTTTTTAGGACAATAAAAATAACATTGTCTATTATTTTTCATTCTCTTTCAATTTAAAGTTTCAATTAGAAATATTTTTATATACTCATAAATTCCAAAAAGCAGAAAAAAAATCATCAGTATAAGTTCTCCCAACTATAAACCACAGATTATGGTCCATCATAATTCCTTTTCTATCACTGAACATAAAAATAGCAAGCAATTTCAGTCAAATAAAAAGAGGTAAGAAAAAATGAAATTCTTTGTTTGCTGTTAGAACCACGAGCATGTGGTCGACCAGAACAGCCGCCGAATTCCACGATGACGGTGACCACAACCGCAGATCGGAATTCCGGAAGTGCATACGAAGTTGGCGCGACCGTGGAATATACTTGTAACGCTGGTAGCCTTCTTATAGGACCGTCCAGTCGCACTTGTCTCGATACTGGCTTCTACAACGAGTTTCCACCTGTGTGCAAAAGTAAGAAGCATACTACTCAACTATGGAGGAAGCCAGAGTAACTGCAAAAAAAAAAAAAATGTAAAACAAGTTTCTTTGTATTTTTAGATACTTGTTAACATTTGATTAGACATCAAATATAATATTTTACAAAAAAAAAATTAATAGAAACAAAAGACAAATTTATAACAAATATAAATAACGAGCAATAATTGTATTGTAAAATATTGTAAAATATTATTTCTTAATAAGAACAATAACTAATAACTTTGTAAATAATTGTAAAGTATTATTCCTTAAAATAGAAATGTAAATACAAGAACAGTAGTATTCTAAAATATTATTTCTTAATGGTAAAATAATGTCAATGGCTGAAGATTTCTAGTTATAAGTTCTTCAATAAACATTGCTTCTCTCTCATAGTTGGACAGTATAAGGATCAGAAAGAAATATAGAGACCAACTTGGTGAACCATATATGTATCGTTATATCGATGTTAAATTCAACATTCTACTCGTTTCAGGCATCGAGTGCGGTTACCCAGCAAACATAAAACACGGAGGCTACACACTTATCAACAATACCGTTAGTTATCTCAGTCAGGTGCTTTACTCCTGCGATGAAGGATACGAGATGACTGGTAAGAATTTATCGTGGCGCTAGCCATTATTTCTTGATTGTTTGATAAATGGATATCGTTTGTAAATAATACTCTGATACGTGTGTTCGAAAATGCTTTATAAAGGAGCAGTTTGAGGAAATTGGTAAGCATGTCTTGTTTGGTAAATGATAGTAATGATAGTTTCAGTTTGTTTCTTTTTTTAGTATCTTGATTTTTATTATTTTTTGGAGCAATATATGAGATGAATATATTTGAAATATGATAATGAATTTGTAAAGTAATTAATAGTAAAAATTAAAATAAATGAAGATAGATTTTTATTAGAATTTTATTGTTTAAGTAATTTTTACTTAATTTAAATTTATGTAAAAATTTCTATTAAAGGTCGTGCAAGATTGACTTGTGACATCGATGAGCGTTGGAATGGACCACCGCCGCGTTGTGAACCAATCCTGTGCGATCCTCCAACACCGGTGCCGCACAGTTACATCCAAATCGATGAAATCGACGAAACCGAAACAATGCCATCGAAATCGAACTTTAATCGAAGTCTTCTCGTAGGCAGTATTGTCACTTATACTTGTGAAAAAAATTATAGACTCACTGGGCACCGACAAATATTATGTTTACCCACTGGATTGTACGATCACATCGCACCCACCTGCATAGGTAACTGATTCATTCATTAATATAAATAACAAAATATAAAAATTTTAACTAAACTTTTGTCTCTTCCTACAAGCTCAAGAAATCCATCTCTTCATTCATCGTAAAACCAAAATTCTTTCATTCAAAGAAGAATTTCCACAATTCCTGAAATACTTACATACTTGGACAATTGTCACACTATAAATCTAATCTCTAAAATAAACAGGATACAGGACAGCACATTGTTTAAAATCGCATGACTTCTATTCTTTACAATAAAATATCTGAAAGAAAATCAGAATAAATTTTATTACAGAGGAACCACGCACCACAGTGACCGCCCCACCCCGAATAACTGTACGAACAACGACTGCCAGAACTCGGCAACCATTCTTACCGCCACGAGTCCGACCCACAACAATCTCGACGACCACAACCACGACCACCACCTCTGTACCACCTCGAAGAGTGGCCAGCACCGCTGAATTACCCGCGACGGTTCGCGAAACCATCGCGAGGAAACCGAATGTCGGTCTTCAGAGGCCAGCACCTCCTCCTTCGCCACCTTTGAACGATGACAGCAGTGATCATCCTCAGGACAACGAGATTTCGGGTAGTGGGGTGGATAATGCACAGGTTGGGATTGGAACCGGTGTTCCAGAACCTTCTGGACCTTACAGAGTGGACAATGCCGACCACACAAGTAACACTCATCAAGCGAAATTAAATCTAGGCGCTGTGATTGCCTTGGGTGTCTTCGGCGGTTTTGTATTCCTAGCCGCTGTAATCACCACCGTTGTAATACTTATACGCAGGTAAAGGAAAATCATTAAAGTAAATCCGTGATTCACGTGATTCTCTTTGTCTCTGTGATCAAAATTTTTAGTTGCACCAAAAGTAACGCCTGTTGTAATAATATTAGATTGTACTTTGTATATTTTATATTTTATGTTATTTTTGTTTGTGATATATTGTTTTTTTTTTTTTTTGCTTATTCGTTTAGTGTTAACTGTAATATAACTTCCATGCTAACTTTAATAAGAATCAAAATAGAAAATTAATTTAGGATAGTGATTCTTTTATTTTCTAAAAGACTGAATTTTTTGATATACATTAAGTAATACAGAGTGTTCGATTACCAGAAATTTAAGGAATTCTTCAAATTAATAATGACTAATTATTTTTTAAAATTTTGAACATTTGTAACTGAACACCCTGTATATTTTTGATTTGAAGATCTTTACATCATGAAATTATATTTATAATCATCTGTATTTTAGTATCTGCAATTTTATTTTTAATTTTCTTCAATTTCTTAACAGGCATTATTTCTTGGGCAAACTATACATAACTATAGCTTTTCTATATATACAATACATGACTCTATGTGTATACTGTATCGCTTACTCTATATTTGTTCAAACTGTCTTTATTCTTTCGTCTATCTTCTTGTCTTCTAATCTCTTCTAATTTAATCGCGTATTTTTTCAAAATACTGTAATTTGTTGTATAACAAAGGGTTGTTACGTGTAAAGAATAATTTCTAAGTCCTCTTGATTTTTATTATTGTATTTTTTTTTTTTTCAATATTATCAATTGATAGTATTATAATGTAATTTCGCTGCAACTGTAAAAGCTTTTCCTACTTTAAGTAAAAAAATACAAAATTATTAGATAAAAGTATTTTTTAAGAAATTTCTATCTATATATCAAATAATAATCATTATTATAAATTCAAACATTTTGAATATGATAAGAATTATAATGTCAGAAAATTTAAGAGCTGATTATTCAAGATAAAGAAGAATAAACGAAAAATCATTCCTTGAAAAATCATCCCTTAAACTTTTGCCAACTATATACCCTATTATACCCTATAATAATTATTATATCTATATAAATATATAGGGTGTTATATATTCGTGGATTCTAAAGACGAACATAAAAGTTTCTGTAAAATATTTATTGAAGTTTATTTATTAAGTTACAAACAATCGAATATAAATTGTTTATGTCATATTATATATATTTTTTTATATACTTCATCTTAACCTTAAAAATCAATCCTTAAAAAATTATCCCACGAATATATCTAAACTTTCCAAACCAATGAAAAATTGATCAAAAAAAAAAAAATCAAAGAATAGAAACTTAATCAAACCATCGTCAAAATAGAAATAAAATATAGTAAAAAAAAAATTAAGAAATAAAAAAAAGAAAAGTTGATCAGAGGAAATTAGGCAACGATCAAGAATATAACAATTAACACTGAGCCCGTTTGCGTTGCGGTGGTTAGCGGCAGTGGCAGGGTCAGAGGAAGGCGCCGCAGGGGGCTTGGTGGGGTTGGTGCGTTGAGGGGTGGGGGTAGTGGTGGCCTTGGAAGGGGTGACGCCGGGATGCCCTCGCGTTGGTACACGCTACTGGCGCTGCCCTTCCCCGACCAGCACCTGGGGCGCCGCGATTTGACGGCACGCCGCGGCACCG